AAGACTTGGCAACCGGCTCCTGTCGCGATTACAGCCTCGGAAACCCCACGGGGCCATTCTCCTCGGCCCTCAGAGTCAAACCGGTGGCACCCGCATCAACAAGAGGACTGAATAGCTATTACCTGAGCATTCCAGATGGCACGCACAAGGGTACGTCGGGAAGCCCAACCGCGGAGCATTAAGGTACAAGCCATTTGTTATTTCAGGAGTTTCTACTGAAAAACGCAACCTGGTTCCAAGGTCACGCACTGAGGTTGCAGCAGAAACCGGCTACAAAAGCCCAGGTCCGCTGCTGGCTAAGTGGGCTGTGCACAGTGTCCGGGTGCCCCGCCTCCTGCGAAGTGTCGCTTCATAAAAACCCCAGCTGACGGACGCGGAGGAGGCGCTCTGCCTTCGCGTGTTTAGTCTACCAGGGCTTTTAGCACCACTGCGGCCGGGTCTCCTAATGGAAATGCATTTCTCTCCTCCCCCATTACCCACCCAGAGATGCTCTTGGTATGAAAGGCCCTTTCACCTCGAGGTTTTTGTCTCGTAAGGCATCCCTAAATCAGGAAGGAAATGCGGAGGAGTGCAGAAGAAGCCACCACAAATGTTTTCTCAGGTAAAAGTTCAAGCTGAGAGCCAGAAATGGAACCGGCTCAATTGATGTGTGCCTGGGGGTTGCAGGTCCATCGGTCCGCCTCTGGTCTGAACGCAATCAGCTTTCTCTTGTGACGGGCTTTCTCAACTAGAAAAACAGCTCAGTGGATGTTTGCCATTTCCCCCTTGCTTTACCAAATGCGGACAAACAAAATACGAGCATCATCCCGTTACGATGCTCCCGGCCCCCAGGACTCTACTGATGTCATGAATGAATTCTAACAAGTCCGTTTTAAGGTCAGAATTTTGGCCATTACCTCACTGGTACTGTAGCTGCGGATGGCAGAAGCACAATGGGGCACAAGCAAGGCTGTGCGACGGCAAGAAGTAAAATAGCACACGACGTGTGTGAGAAAACGCATGTGAAAACACACACGTTCCAACGCAGGGGCTCTTATCATCACATCATCACATCCTCCAGACTTGACATTCCTAATTATGCCAAAATGTATGACCGGAAAAAACAACAACCCAGAAAAGCAAGACAAAAGAGCCGTTCGAGTTCCGAGGCAGGAGAGGGAAATCCCGTGCCCTCATCTCTCAAGCTCCCAAGAGTTGCTGCAGCCCTACTAAGTGGAGAAAAAGAAAGCAAACCTGCGCAGGAGCATTTGGGGACCAGACACTGCAGTCTCTTTCCAATAATCTGGCTGGACGAATGGACCGCTGCAGCTTCCGTGACCCCTGGAATGTCTAGCTGAAACGGCAGGGCGGGTTCAAAATGATGAGCTGAAATGAGAACCTGGGGCTCTACCTTTGATTTATTCTGACCATGGTGGCACCTGTGATGCTCTCTGAACTTGACCCGATCTCTAGAAACTGCCTTTATACGGCCAGGAGGGAAGGACAAGGTTCTAGGGAGGCTTCTGAGCCCGCTGTGTTTTGCTCTTTCAAAGGAAAAAGAAGACAGCCGGGGAAAAGGAGAGAGGCTCTTTGACAAGGAGGGCTATGTAGCTTTAAGCTTCTGGAAGAGCCAAGCTACAGAAGTAACATACACATAATAGTCCTGCTGCTAATTAGAAGGTACGAGAAACACCCTAATTATTTTAGAAGCTGACACTTAAAAATGGACTTGGTGCTTTCTGTAAGACTGTCTGATTCTGGATACCTCCTACCTACTTACAATCTCCTCCTCCCGAGTCTAACAGGAACCCAGGTGTAGTGGGTTATGCATTGTACTGCTAACCTGAAAGTCAGCAATTCAAAGCCCCCAGCTGCTGCTCTTCAGGAGAATGACAAGGCTTTGTGTACCCATAAAGATTTAGCTTCAGAAATTCACAAGGCCAGTCTGTCCTGCCTGTAATAGGGACCCTTGAACTGGAACAGACTCAGTGGCAGTGCACTTGCGTTCCAGGTCCAGGTGTGTTTATAAAAACGCCCACATGGCTGAATTTTCAAAATACCAACCAGTTGGCAGTGAGTTAACTTTGACTTAAGGCAACCCAGGCGAACTGTCCTCCAAAGGGTTTACAAGGCTGTTTTTCTGAAATAGATCTCCAGGCCTATCCCCCTCCCCCCTCCCTTCCCCCTTGGATACCCAGTGACTTCATGGACTTCGGTGTTGTAAACGGACAAAATACACTTCGGAACTTTTAGGAAGGTTGGATTAGGTTATTACAAAGTATTGGGAAACAAAAATAATCCACGAGCGCTGCTTCTTTCAAAGGTGAACATCCTGGCTGGGTGAAGGTGGGGGCCGATGGGATTCCTCTGGAGCACAGCAAGTGTTCTATCTGCTCTTGGCAAATCCCGAATCCACCCAGCTTCCATCTCTCCTTACTTACGGCTTGGGCCATAGTACTTATTGACTTAAGTGATGAAGGCTTAACTCGGGCTGCCTGTCAGAGTAGCAGCAACCTGCTTCTTAAGGGATTTTAGCAACCTCCAACATCTTCAGAAAACACAGGAGACAGAGAGAAAAAAAGACAAGGAAATAAAATCACTAAATGAACTTAGACGGAAGGGTGGAGCGGGAAGACTCCGAGGGGGGAAATGCTGCACGAAACCTTTGGATCCGGGGATGTCCTTTTAGGCAACAGAGATTAGAAGGGATTTTGCAAAGCACGAACCCCCCCACTGGACAGCGAGGCTCTCCTAGCAGCTGCCTGCAGATGCCCTTGCGCTGTCATATTCTCAGGGAGGGAGGCTTGTTACAAGTTTCCAGGACATGGCAGCAACCTCGCTCACAACAGCAATGCCAGGCTCTTGGGATGGTGAGGAGACAAGAGGAAGAATGCCACCTGGAGAATCTCCAACCCCTCGATGCCTGCAGTGCTCTGCAGATACTAATTCATGCAAAATCGCTCACAGCAATGTCATCATCCACAAGCCCGTTTTACAGAGAGGGTAAGTACTGAGCCGAAGGCATCAAAGCTGGTCCGTGAGGGAGCAGGGGTTTGGGCAGGCACCCTGGCTCAAGCTTGCATTCTTACGCATGGCACGCTGCCATTCCTCAGGCAAAGAGGAAACCATTCAACAGGCTGTTATCCTAAAGCAGTGGTTCTCAGCCTTCCTAATCCCGCAACCCTTTCATATAGTTCTTTATGCTATGGTGACTCCCCAACCATAAAATTATTTTTGTTACTACTTCATAACTGTCATTTTGCTACTGTTATGAATTGGGGGACCCTGTGAAAGGGTCATTCGACCCCGAAAGGGTTGAGACCACAGGTTGAGAACCGCTGTGCCCTAAAGCCTATTGCAGGGTGCTCCTATGGACTCCTGGTGAGATGCTAAATCTTCTACCAGCTCCCGAGGCATCAACTTTTCCAGTCCAGAAGCAGGGGTACAGGGTCAGGCAGACCTGGTTTTGAACCTACCATTTTCCTTAAGAAGATTCACTTACTTTCAGAATCTTAAGCTTTCCACTTATAACAGGGCTAATGTGACCACCCTCCTAGAGCTTTGTGAAGCTTAGAAATAAAATGTGAGATGTGCTAGCAGTGTACCTGGCGATAGAAACATAAAAGGTGTCTAATTCATACAAGTGATATTGAATGTTTCCTTGTTAGAAGGTTTGGTGGGGAAATGTGGACTGTCTAGCCACTCAGGAGGCAGGTCATACACACAGAATGCTAGAATGAATGAAGGAAGCTCATTCCACAAGCCAAGCTAGCTTTTTTCTAGATTTTGGTGGTTGGGTTGCTTCCTATGCCCTACACAATGGAAAGCCATTTTACTACATAATTTGCCTAATTAGTTTGTGCCTAGACGTGCTCTGAAGGTTATATCTGTCTATCTGTCTGTCCGTCTATCTATCTATCTATGGTTATATACATATTTGTCATCATGATCTTCCACCTTGCAGATAGCTTGCTTTTCCGAAAGTCTGAGCCTAGGTGCGCATATGGTCACCAGGTGAACGTTCCCTGATGCCCACCTCTCTCTCCAGTCCTCTATGAAGGACCTGAAGATTGCATGCCCTCATATTGGTGTGTACAGGTCACAAGAGGGTTGGTTGGCTGATCAGCACACCCAGGTCCTCTTTTGGTCCATCTTGGTCCATCTTCTTTACCATCAATACAGACCACCCTTGGCTGAGCAGCTTGAACATCAGGGGCTTCTTCCACAGGCCCAGGCGGACGTGGCTGCCACAGATGGCAGCATCTGAGATGCCAACGATCAACAACTACAATGGTCTAAGACGATAGACATGAGCCGGGTTGGAATTTTGGTGAAGAATTTTCTCTACGTTGCCAGGACGAGAGGAAAAAGAAAAGCTTTGAGAAACTCCATCAAAGCATCTTCCATTTGGAAGAAGGAAGGAAGCCACACCAACATCCAGGCCAATGGGAAGGCCGACTTCTGAGGGACATTTTGGGTCAAGATTATGCCGCTGTCCCTCAATGTTTCCAGAGGAAATGGAAAGGGGCACATACGCGTGTCCCCAGCCCACTGCCTACCACTCCACACTGGGCACCGTTTTAAAAAAGTCAAGGAGACAGTGATGGGTCTTGGGGGTAGATCAGGATGTGCAGTCATTACTATTAGCGGGTTCTACCCCCCCCCCCCCACTGAAACAGTGTCTACCACCTTGATTGCACAGTTACTCTGTTCCGGGGGAAATGATGAGGTGGAAAAGATGCACTCTTTACCCCGAAACCCACAGCAGGAGAGATCACAGCATGATGGACAGCCACAGGGCCCTGAGTGAGTACCTCAGCTATCTGCCTGTCCATAGGAGGACTGGGGTGGGGGGGTGGGAATAAAAATGTATTGAAAATTGTGGGGAGGGGGGAGGGGAGTCAGTGACTCTGATTCTTCTGCTGACAGAGACCACGGAGGTTGCGTATTGAATATAGCTCCTCTTCCCCAGGCCGAAACCGTTTCCTTCCCACCATTCAATCCTAGCAAAGAAGCACGGATTTAAAAATCTTGCAATTTTATTTGCATATAAAGGCCGCTAGATATAGAATATCACAATAAATTTAAAGAAACACTGCTTTCCTAAATGTCATGGACAAGATAACGTAAGATAGAATAAAGCTCAACGGCATTTACAATGGGAAAACAGAAACGACTATTAGCGACAATATTTTGTGCTAGCGGAGATTGCATCGACACACAGTGCAAAACGGGGTCGGGTCGGGGAGAGGAAGTAAGAAGACAATTCAGGGGATTTAAATATAAAGGACAACTAAGCCTTTAGTTAGCTTTCATTGCATCCATTCAAGTCTGTCTATACACGCTTGCAACTGCACCTAGATGGAACTCAAGTTCTTTAAGACCTTGAGCGCTGAGCAAACACTCAGCTCCTTCAGGCTTCCGACGCGCCGCCGTCCAGCATCCCTGTGCAGTTGACTGTCCTTGGCAAGATTAAACTCCTAACTCAGTCATCATCCACAAAAAATATTCGTATATATAAACCCATATTGAAAAGGAGTCTGCACGTTCATTTTTTCTTCTTCTTACTTGCGTGAAATACTTGCTCTTGACAGATTCCATTTCATAGTTTTAAAGCTAAAATAATTTAAAAGGAAACAAACAAACAATGAGACCTTGTATAATGACACGCTGGATCTCACTAGCTAAGCCGTCCTTCCCAGGAGAGGCGGTTCCTTCCCTTGACACAGCTTCCTTTAGAGTGAGAGTGTGGAAGTCTTTTTTTTTCTCCCACATCTAGTTTCACTGAGCAGGTTCTTATAAAATCGGGGCCACATCTGCAAAAAAGAACGATTACCAAGGAACTAACAACAACAGAAACAACAAAACATCAAAAAAATAAAATACTTCAAACAATACTCAAACAGTTGTGCAAATTTGGATGTTTTCTTCTTTTTTAAAAAAAACAAAAAACAACAACAACACTGCCTACTTGTTTCTTTTTTTTCTTTTAGCTTAAAGCATATTAAAATACAATTTTTAACACTTAAAAAACAAAGCTTGGCTGTCCTTTGGCGAACACTAACAATGGCGTGGCCTTTGAGAAGACAGAAGATACTTTACAAATCCACAACGCTCCTTGACTGCAACTGGATGCCCCATTGAAAAAGAAAAGAAAAGTAACAAAGAAGCACAACCCCTAGCATCGTTCCTGTTCCAGTAATTTACAAAAAAGAACTTACAGGATTTGGAAACAAACAAGGAAGAGAATGTATGTTTTATAATTAGAAAAATGGCAGTTTGTAGACCTTTCCTCACATTCCAATGGGAAACGAGGGCCTCAGGAACCCTGTGGGTTTGGAAGGTCAAAGATAATTGGAGGGTTGGTCGGTTGAAAGCTGACTGTACACGTTGAGGCATTGATGTACGTTGTGTACCCATCCGTCATGATGCCGTAGCCTGCGGAGAGAGAGAATCCCACTTACTGTAACACGTACAAACCGCAGGCACTGAACGCAGGCCAGGAAAGCAAAGGATTGGCCTGTGGGCAGGGAGGTGAAATTCAGTTGTACCTCCTGGGACATGGCAACTTTTGGAAACTATCACCTAATTTTGCCCTTAAAAAAAAAAAAAGAAACAATCCTCTACTTCCAAGAAGACTGGTTCCCCCCCCCCCCTTATTTAAACACGAAATTTGTGAAAGTAAAGAGTTTCTTTCTAGTGAGAATAAAGAAAACCATTTTTCCCCCTTCTTGGTCAAATAGAGTTTTCATCCCAAAGTCCTGCATTCCTTAAGTAGTGAGTTCTAGGAAACAAAAGGACTGGCATGACCGCCTCCTCAGGCCCAAACACAGACACACTCCATCCACACGGGCCTCCAGGCCAGTCCAGGTGGAAAGAGCACTGGCCTGGAAGGTAAGAGATGGGGGTGGCGGTGAGGCGTTCTACCTCCCTCTCTATGAAGCAAGCTCAGGACTGCCTCGGGGGAAGGTCACAAGAAGTGGGGTCCAGATTGTTCCCAAGGACATGATCTTTACAGAAACGATCACTATCTTTCCCCTGTGGCCCTGCTACGGGGTTCAAACCATTGACCTTCTGGGTCACAGCCACATGCTGAACCCCAGTGCCAACCAGGCTCCTGCAGGGGCCCTGAGCACTGAGATGCAAAACTGAGGAAGGCTAAGGAAGTTTGCCTGAGCCCTTGGTATTTAGCTTCCTTCCGACATTTTTAATAGGGTGACATTTTTAGCAAGTTTGCAAATCTGCGCATTTCCCTGGATACGTTACATGTCCTGCCTTCCGGTTTTTGAAATAATTGGTAATTTTGTTGTTGTTGCATCAGGCTCCTATGGCCTAGGCTAATATACCCATGGAAAAAGACAATTACCAGGCCTTACAAAATTCATCAATAATTCCCCGCCCACCATGTGCTAACAATTCTTATGGGCAGCTTAATGTAGATCAATGGAAAAATCTCTCATGAAAAAGAAAAGAGTCATTTTAAGGAGCACTGTTTAGTTCTGGGGTCATAGCCTTGTTATCTCTTTCCATCAAGAGGTTGGTATTTGCCCTCTCACTGCCCTCTTTAGCTGTCTTAAGTGAATAGGAGAGAGAGAGAGAGAGAGAAGTTTATTTTACTATGATCTCCCTTTTTCGCAAGTTTGTTTGGGGCTTCAGTGGAATTCCCCAATTGTCAGCTTGGCTAGTTTAAAGCTAATTAATGGTGGGTTTTTTTTCTCTCTTCTAAATGATGAAATGCAACCTCATCCTGCAAGAATTCAAATCTGTTTTGAAGATAAAGGCACCCGGAAATGAAGCTCCCACCTCTCTGCCTCTTTTTCCCATCAGGCCTTTCCAGGGAGTCCATATAAGCTCTGAGTCAGGGCAGGCTGACACCTCTGCTCTCTGAGAACTCTCCCCTCTGCTTTCCATCTGCTCAGCTGGTGCCTGCACTTGGAGCAAGTGGAATTTTCTCTGGCTTCAGCAGGGGGATTTTCAATATGCTCTTTATTACCCTCCTAACCAGGGAGCCACTGGACGTGTGGACTTTGGCAAACCACTTTGTTTTTGAACCTTGTCAGGCATGTAACCCTAAACACCTCCACTTCACTGCAGATTCATAACTCACTCCCGAGCACTGTTGGAAGCAGGGGCTGCAGAGCACCTGGAGGCGGTCTACTCAAGCATACCTGCTACACGCAGGCCCGTGGGACTGCGGGAGCGGGAGCGCAGCGGGCCGCAGACCCAGGCTCGATGAATGAGGCCTTGTGGCAGAGCACACAGAGCCCAGAGCCCTGAAGGTTCCTGTGAGGACTTCGGGTTCTGCGAGTCCGACGCAGCTTCCCTTGCAAGGCAGAAAATGGCAATCGGACTCGTTTCCCCGGGAGGAAGGTTTATTCTTGCCCGCCGTCCAAATAGTTTCTGATGACTTCTGAGAAGTCTGAAATGGGCTTCCGAGGTCGCGATGGACATATCTGCCTCCACATGTACGGGTTCCTGCCATTTCTGTGTAAGGCTTGGGCTGATGTCTGCAGTCATTTGCAGAGATGGTCCGGTCTGCCTGGGTCTTTGTGGATTTTCCATGGGAAACACAGGCTTTACAGGTTGGAAGGAGCCGGGGAAGTTATTTACTCTCACACCTGGGCCACTCTCTTAAAGAGAACATGATTTCTATATTTAACTCAGAGTTGCATTACACTGATGGTCACAGCAGATCAAAGATTCTGCGTCAGAGCCCAAGATTCCGGAAGGCTGCCTTGGGGAGTGCTGGGTGTGGGTAAGGTGTGCAGACTCGGTTCTGACAGCCCTCTTTGCTGGAAACAAGAGGAGCTCCACGTACAATAGTGATCATCTTTACGTGCCAGGCGTTTCAGACAACATTGGACCTTCCAAAAGGGCCCCATTGCTAAGAGCAGCTTGAAAACCAGGGCCGCACTTACCCCCACTTTTAACGAAGGCCTCCTCTTGCAGAGGAGGCCATGCATCATGACACATGCTGGGAATCCCTCACTTCCTTCGTTCTTACCTTCATGTATTCCACCAAACACATGGAGCTTGGGCCGGACCCGCCTCTGCACTGTGTTTAACAGCTCCACGCAGCCCACTCTTTGCAGCTCCTTGGGAACCCAGTCTCGGAAGCCTATGGGAAGAATGCAATCAATCCTCTTAATTTTCTTTCTTCAGGTAAGGTTTCATTTAGACTTTCAGGAAGCCATAACTCACAGAAGGTTTATTACATTATCTGTAATCCTAGCCCCTCCATTAAAGCTCGCAATGGCTTTTAAGAAACTTTTCACTTGTCACTTTGTCTTCTTTAAGGTTCTTGAATTTTTTTTTGGTTTCCATTTTTTTCTCCCTGTTAATTAACTATCCACCCCCAGCCCCCACCAGGCCCCGGCCGGGAGGGATTTGATTTATTCAGCCACAGGTTTCAAATCTTTTTCATGGGCTTGGTGACACTTATTCCCAGCAGTACCATAATATCTCCTTTCTCCCTCAATTCAGGAACGTTCTCTTTTTTATTAGTCTATCTTTCTCATAGCAGTTGACTTCCAAGATGTTTCTAGAAGGAAGTGCTGGGAAGGGCTGCCTGTAAGCTAGCCACAAAGTGCTTTGTTCTCTTCAGATAACGTCGACTCAACCCTTGGAGATTCCTGGGGACCGCCGCTGGGGAAACCCAAGTTCTTCCTCTAGTCTCCTCATAAGGAGCAGGCAAAAGCATGACCCCCTAGTGGCAGCCCGCAAGCCAGGGCGAATTGACTACTCTGAAAGTGCAAGCCACTTAGTTCTATGCTTAAGCAAAAAATCCATAAAAATGGACATCAATTATAGCAAGTCAGCTGTCTGAGTGATGAGGGTCTGAAATGGAATCCATGCCCCTTTGTTGGGTGGGGTGTCAAGAAGGCAAGTGGGATGATCCGATACATCGTAATCCAGGGCTCCTCAAACTGTTAAACAGGGGGCCAGTTCACTGTCCCTCAGACCCATTGGGGGGCTGGACTATAAAAAACAACAACAAACTATGAACAAATTCCTATGCACACTGCACATATCTTATTTTGAAGTAAAAAAATAAACGGGGCAAAAACACCCGGCGGGCCAGATAAATGTCCTCGGCGGGCCGCATGTGGCCCGCAGGCCGTAGTTTGAGGACCCCTGTTAAATCCATCAGAACTCATCCCACAGCTCTGTGAAGTTACTTCTATCTGGAGCTGATGGGGCAGAAAGGAGCAGGCAAGCAGATTCCACTTTGGTCCAACTGTTGACTGGGGTCCTTAGCATCTTCCTGGGATGTCCAGGAGTGGCCAAAGATATTGGCAAGAGTCTTCAATGAAAAAGGATTCCTACTAAGAATCCAACCAGGGGTTTCAAACCTATTTTTAAGAACATCCTTCATCTACAATGACTGGCATATTCTCTCATAATGTGCTTTTATTATAAGTGAATACATATGAAATAGGAAATATCCTATTTCATATACAAAGAGGCTTCAAAAACTTTTTGGAAAAATGGAAATGAAAAGATGATGGAATTTTTCTAGGAACTTTCTGAAGCTTCCTTGTATTAAAAAACTCGCTGCCTGCAAGTCTATTTCAACTCATAAAGACCCTTCAGTAGAACTAGGATCTAGGACGTGGTATGCCCTGGGCGGGGGGTGGGTGTGAGAGGGAGACAGAGAAGTGGGGGCACTGACTGCAACCATTAAGCAGTGTCTACTGGCCATTGCAGTGTTCTATCACCAGCTATTAGAGATCATTCAGCAATTTAAAACTAAGTGCACTATTTTCTGAAGATAAAATCTCTGCCTGCAGGAGCACTGGTGGCGTGGAGTGATTATTGGGTGTGCTGCTAACCACAGGATCAGCAGTTCAAAGCCACCAGCTATTTTGCGGGAGAAAGATGGGGCGTTCTACTCCTATAAACGGTGTCAGTGTTGGAAAATCACACAGGGGCAGGTCTATCTACTCTGTCCTAGAGGGTCACTATGAGTTGGCATCAGTTAATGGCAGCGAGCTTGTTGTCTTTTCTAAATTAGGGCAGATAGAACTGCTCCTCAGGGTTTCCCAGGCTGTCATGGTTCCAGAAGGTGGCCTGGTGGCCCAGTGGTCAAGGCTCCACTGTTAACTGAGAGGTCAGCAGTTCTCACCCACCAGCTGCCCTGAGGTGAGGGTGCTGGGGTGGAGGATGTGGAAGTAGGCTCCAGTAAAGACTTGCTGCTTTGGAAACTCTAGGGAACAGTCACTCTGTGCTGTAGGGTCGCTGTGAGTCAGAGCTGATGCCACTCAGGTGAGTTTGCTTCGAAATCTCCAGCAAAGCAGACTGCCACATTTTCCTCTCAAGAGTGCCTGGTGCCTACCTTTCAGTGCACACGCAAGTGCTGAGCCCACCTCACCAATGCTCTCTTATGTCATAGAGCAGAAGACCCTCCTGACATGGACCGGATTCTTACTCATGGTCAGCCTCTATTGGACAGAGTAAAACTACTCCTCAGGCTTCCCAACACTCAATCTTTATAGCAGAAAGCAGCCTCGTCTTTCTCCTGGGTTTGAACCATCATTTTTGAGGTTGGCCCCACGGCCCCACCAGGGCTCCTTTAATATATGAGCACCTGAAAAAATGACAACAAATTCTTCTCACATCATAAGGCTGAAGTCCCAAGGCATGGTGGTTTCCCTCTTCCGAAACAAATGCAAGGCTAACTTTCCCTCCATACAGCACTTTCCTAAGCGTTCTAGTAACAGGATCCATGAAGGCTCAATTTTACCTTATGAAAGCCTTGCCTGAGTTTCTATTGAGCAACTCCTTGAGATCCGTCTCACTCAACAGCCGTTGTCTGTCTGTCCCATGTTTGCTGCATGAAGAAGGACACTGGCCTCCCTATTAAAAGTCTATCAGATGTCTCATGTCTGCTTTGGAGGCTAGAATTCAGATTTTTAAAACATTTTTTCACTAAACGCCTAGCTCCTCGTAGGTACCCAACTACTCTCACCCTACTCAGCAACTGGAGCCCAGGTGGCGCAATGATTAAAGCGCCTGGCTGCTAAGAGTTCAGTGGTCCCACCAGCCCATCCGCCGGAGAAAGATATGATAGTCTGTTGTTAGGATTTACGGCCTCGGAAACCCTGTGGGGGTAGTCCTATTCGACCCTATAGGGCGGATCCGAATCAATCGATTCCAAGGCAACGGGTTTGGTTCCAGCACTTATGGGGACCAGGTGCTACATTTAATCATCAGGAAATGCAGCTTTCCGGGGCGACGCACAATTCGTTCCCCTCCATTGCGAGGAACGTTCACCCAGGCCAGGTTCCTTCCCACCACAAAGGGGTGGAGTAGAATTCAGAGTTATGATTCTTGTCACTTGCGTGGATATTAATTTAAACGACTTGATGACATCCGTGACTTCTCTCTTCTCTGCCAAGGTTTTTCCTCTCATCGAATACATGTTTAGGAAGTGAGGCTGTCCCAGTCCAAAACAGCCTGAAGGAAATCGGGCTTATTCCCCAGTTAAACTGCTCAAGCAAGAAAATCAATGGGTTGTATGGTATCTCTATCGAGGAATCTCACTTGATAGGCCATGCTATTTTTATCAGGCAATTGAATGATTAGCAGCCTTGGATGATGGGAATATAAGGACATTTCACTCATTGTGGCTTGATAAAGACAGGCATTCTTAAAAACATGGGATAAAACTCAAACCAAACTCACTGCCAGTGAGGGGCTTCCAATGCCCAGCGGCCCTCTTATAAAAACAAAACCCAACCCCCAAACTCACTGCCCTCCAGTCGATGCTGATTGCCAGTGACCCGACTGGACAGGGTAGAACTGCCCTCCTGCGTTTCCGAGACTGCCACTCTTTATGGGTGTCAAGAGCCCCAACTTTCTCCTGTAGAGTAGCTGGTGGTTTTGAACTGCTGACATTGTAGTTAGTAGCTCAACAGGGAATCACGACATCACCACCTTCCCAGGGCAGATCTGGTCATTCAAAAAAGCCAGGACCTGCTGAGACACTGCACAAACCTGTACAATCTCCACGTCTCTGGAACTGGCTCCTCTCCTCTGGTTCTCCCCTGGGTCAGAGGCTTAGATTCTTGTGCTTGTTCCCACTGTTTTTGTGAAGCTCAGAGACGATGCCTTGTAAAGGCAGGGCAAGCAGCACCACTAGGGGGGTGTGTGTGTGTGTGTTTGATTTTTAAAATTCCCAGATGGACAGAGAAGGAAAGTGGCCTGGATGACCACCCCAAAGCATCAGAAAAAACAAACTGGGAAATAATTTATCTTTGTATTAAATGTTCTTGCCCTCTCTCCAAATCAAGATGATCAAGACACTACATTTGTTAAAATCGTAACATCTCAAAATCCATAATCTATGTACAGGGTGTCAGCTAGGATTAAGCCTCCACTGAATTCCTTCTGATTATTAACCGAGGATGTGAATAGTCTTGCCCTCAGGCAGAGTGAATTAGAAAGTGGATTACCCCCACGCTTCTCCAGCCAGCCCAGGGAGGGGCAGTCTCTTTTAGGGTCTTGCCTGGGCGTGTCCTTAGAGATCACCACAGTGGGGACAATTCTGAGGGTTGTAGAGGCATGAGTCATAGGTCAGTCTGCCCTGAATGCCTTGGTCGGAAGGCCCTGGACCAGTCTTATAAGTTCCTCTAACTCAGTGGTTCTCAATCTTCCTAATGCTGCAATCCTTTAATATAGTTCATGTGGTGGTGACTCCCAACCATCGGAAATATGTGTTTTCCGTTGGTCTTGGGCAACCCCTGTGAAGGGTCGTTCGACCATCCAAAGGGGTCGCGACCCACAGATTGAGAACCGCACATTAGATTCTAACTTAATGTGCGTGTTCCAGTCAGGGTCCTGTTCGTGTTTCTGTAGTCCCACCTGCGACTGTGATATCCTGATCTGCCACCAGTCATGAATTTGCGAGTTTCCTTTGTTCCATGGCTTATTTAACGCGCTTCCTGACTCTTGAATTCTCAGATGCCCTTATGACTTCATACTAATGGCCTCCCTCATCTGGATGATGTGTCTGTGCTGTCTTTGTCTCTTTTAAGACTTAATAAATGTTCTAGATTGGCGGTGGCCAACACCTGAATTTCTGAGCACAACTTAGTTTGACAGGCAAGAGCCTGGCATGAGTACTGAGTCCATGGGGATCACAGAGGTAGTCCTTGTTGAAAAACTGCTTGGTGGCCAAGCCCAAAAGGTAACAAGATCATGGATAACTAAAAGAGAATTATATAAATCCAACAATCATCTCCAAGCCACAATCTGGACGGTGGTGGGTACACTTGAAATCCTTTGACCTTGGCTCCATGTGCCTACAGGCTAAGCATCTTTAAGTAACTTTCGATGTAATTCTTTCCCGACAACTTAGCTGGACCGAAAAGGGGAAAAATTATTCTTTTCGCATATAACTCCTTTCTCATATAAATGTTCGACTTTAAAGAATCCCCCCAGGTTCCAACATTGTATGAAAAAAAGAAAATGAGCTCTTTTGAACAAAAGTTTCCATCATTTCATTACCATTCAAAAGCCAGGTGATTGGGAGGTCCGCGTCTTCCTTCTGTCCCCCTCCCCCTCCGCCCTTACCCCAAAGTGAACACGGATCTTAAAATAGATCATCTGGCTCAAAAGACTGTGGTGCTCCATACTCATTTGATTTTCCTTGACTTGACTAAATCAAAAAATTTAATTTCAAGACCACCTGTAAGCCCAGCAGAACTGCTGAGTTTAATTATCATGCTGGGCTTCTTTAAAGACAGTGGGTTTTTTTTTTTCATATTCATTTTTTGGAGGAAAATTATTATGTCCCTGCAGTAGTACTCATCCTAGGGAAAAAAGACATCTCATATGACAAAAGGCTAACCCTTGCTTCACTCACCTAGCGGAGGTCCGTGTGTCATGAGTATGTCGATGCCCTCAGGGATGAGGTTCCACTTGTCCAGCAGGGACTGACCTCTGGGTAGGTTAAAGCCCCATCCATTAAACCACGGGGTCCTTTGGGGGAGATAATGCACATGATATCAGGTCTGCAGAGCCACATCTCTGCCCTGCCGTATTTCCCATTCATCACATGGCCCTACAGTCTGCCCTGTTCTCCTTTCTCTTTTTGATGGTTGGCTTTGTCAGCGGTATGCTTTTGTTCTTGTTGAATGCTTCGAAACCAATTCCTTTGAAAGCAAGCATGGAACCTATGAATTGTTCAACAAGAAAGAGGGACACCTGCCCTGACAGAGAAGGCTCCCCCAGCAGATCTCTGTCTAAATCTGGATAATGCTTGTTGTTCTCTCAGATCTTAGTGCTTCTGAAGATGCCCAGCCCAGATCCAAAACATTTCTAGCCTTCCAGAAGCAATTCAGAGATAACAGAGCCCATCAATATTCCTTCTTGTCTCTGGACCATTACAGAACCTCTCCACTCGAAAGATTCTTACTGCAGTTCCTAGAGAAAAGAACACAACATACGTACAAAAGACAGAACCAGGTTATGGATACCTTAGAGTTGGAATTCAGAAAAATATAAGAGGCTCTGAAAAGTGGGAGGGATGCAGTCAATACAAAGCAAATTCAGGCTTTGCCACTGACGGGTAATTTGGGGGACGCCCCTGGTCACTTTGGAATTCACCCGATCATGGATGCAATCACTCTAGCCCCACAGCCACTCTGCTCCAAGAAGGTGGTTCTGAGATGGATGTCATACACAGATGGGAAAGGGGTCTTTGTCCATCTGATGAACATTTCTCACTGGAGCTGAAAATATCTCTAGCACTTTTAATAGCTGGTTCGTTTTTCTCTATGTGTCCCATGGATTAAATCACATCGGAACAAAGCAGTTCTCAGTGTTGTCCTGTTCCCTACCATCCAGCTACAACCATTATTATTTTTTAAAACCAACTCTCCTTTGTTCTTTGGGAAATTTCCATTTGCTAGGGAATACATTTCAGAACAAACTGACGGATGCCTTGCTAAGTCCAACTTTTCCCTCTATCCTGCCCTTGCGTACTGAAGGAAGTAACCCTATGTTTAAGGTGATCCCAACCTTACCAGTCAAAGCTAACCAGACAGAGTCCCACTTATTTAAAGCCAGCCACTGGCCAGACTAATTTGCTTCCTCAAGATATGGACTCAAGAGACAGTGACATAACTATCACTACGTGGTGGGTATGTACAGTCAAGGCCATCATTGGAAAGAATGGCAGTTCAAAGCCATGTGAAAATTCAAGTTAATGGTGAGAACCTCAGCTTCCAATGAGATAGTGCTAGCTGAACTAGAAGAAAAGAATCCAAGAAAGTATCTGATTGAGTTCCTAACAATTGTCTAAGTCCAAAATTAATTCTCAGGAAGTTTACTTGTAATAACGACAATAACAAAATAACTATTTTTAATTGAATGCAGAGACTATTTTAAATATCTACTTGTATTGCGTACTTATTTGCATTATGAGATTTAACACATCAAACACATTAAACCTAGTAAGGCTGACTCCTTCTCTGCTTTGGGAGAAGGCAACTACTGCATCTCTCTGACCAGAGAATGGTTTGGAAATGTGAATATAAACCAGGCGAGGCCACTGAGAGTCATCCCAGGATTCTGCTGGTCTACCTACAAAGGAAGGGACCCTGGTGGCACAGTGGTTTAAGCATCGGGCTGCTAATTGCAAAGTTGGCTGTTCAACACTCACCCGCCACTGAAGGAGAAAGATGAGACTGCTCCCCTAAAGATGGACAGATGCGGAAACGCTCTGGAGCAGTTCTGTTCTGACCGACAGGGCTGAGAGGAGTTGGATTCAACTTGATGGCAGTGGGACTTGTCTTACCTAGAAGGCAGCCACTTTCCTCTCTACAGGGTCATGGAAATTATGTACTCCTGAGATTGCCGTGGGATCTCCTAGCCACCAAGCAGAGCAGCTCTGCTTGAGGATCAATTACAAAGAAAGTGGGATATGTCCTGCTGACATCGGGGGCCATCTGACTCCAACTCTGCTGCCCCCTAAAGTCACCTCACACTTTCCTTCCAAGCAGATGCCTCTAGGAAATCCTTTCCTTCTTAGAAGTTAAGGCCCTGTTTCTTGCCAATGAATGAGTAGTCCTAACATATACAAGAGTGCTTTAAAATTTTCATGGAAATATTCTATTATTCTTTTTAAAAAATCATTTTATTGGGGGCTCGTACATTCTTATCACAATCCATCGATGCATTGTGTCAAGCACATTTGTACATTTGTTGCAATCATCATTCTCAAATCTATCATTCTTTTAACACTATTTTTCCATGAACTCTTTGAAGCCCCCTCATATGATTTAGTGTAAAAATGACTTATTACCTTTGTGGTCGGCAGAATAACAGCCTCCCACATATGTCCAAGTCAAGTCCCTGGAACCTGTTACCATGCTGCCTTCCATGTGAAAGAGGCATTCTCGCTACAGATGGCATGAAGATTGCTCATCAACTGACTTTCAAACAGGGAACCCATTCTGCATTGTACAGGTGGGCTCGATGCCATCATGGCGACCATTAGATGCAGAAGAGAGGCAGAACGGGGAGTGACGGAACACGAGGAGGGCTCAATCACTGTTTGCTGGCTGTGAAGATGGAGGATGGAGACCAGGAGCTGGGGAATATGGGAAGGCTGTTGTAAATGCTGGAAGAGGCTAGAAATGGATTCTTCCTAGTGCAGTGGTTCTCAACCTTCCTAATGCCCCAACCCTTTCATAGAATTCCTCATGTTGTGGTGACTCCCAACCATAAGATTATCTTCGTTGCTACTTCAGAACTGTCATTTTGCTACTGTTATGAATCATGATGTAAATATCTGATACGCAGGATGTATTTTAATTGTTACAAATTGAACATAATTAAAGCAAAGTAATTAATCATAAAACAATATGTAATTATATATTGTGAAATATTTATGTGTTTTCTGATGGTCTTAGGCCACTACTGTGAATGAGTTGTTCGACCCCCAAAGGGGTCACAACCCACAGGTTGAGAACCACTGCTCTAGAGTCTCCAGAAAGGAACACAGCCTTGTCAATCAACACCTTTTTTTAAACTCTTTGGGACTTGTGTCAACCGTCTGAACCCTGGAATTTATAAGCTGATAAATTTGTATTGCTTCAAGCCACTAAATTTGTGGCCACTTCTTATAGGAGCAATTGAAAACTAATACACTACAGAAAATATTGAATGGCCTGGCTCTAAGCACAGTGAGTAAGCTCAGCACTATGGCATTTATTCCCCAGCGCACTGCCTTGCTCTGTCCGAGGCAATGATTTAGCTTCCTCTGAGAAGGCAGTGCTAACTTCCTCAGCACAGCCCTCTGGGGAGGCATCAGGTACCACAGGCCTGAGGATGGTGCCAGGCAGATCCTTTTAGAGCTCAATTGGTCCATCTTGCTCCCTCTTGTCTTCTAGGACTCCCTGTCTCCAGGTCTTTATAAACATTTCCATTAGAGTTTAAAATCATGACTGCATAATTTGGGATACCTATCTCTCTCCTTCACTTTATAAGGACCCTCTTCCAAAATCTGTCTTAAAAATAAATTGAGGGGAGGGGGCACGGGCGGGAAATCAGCAAGCCCAGAACCCAATGAAAACTCAGTGTGCATTTTGGGAGGCGAGAAAGAAAAATAAGCAAAAACATCTGTTTTCCTAGATTTTGAAAACAAGCTTCTGGGCCTAGGGTTCCGGTCTGGATGGCAAATACGAAGGGCTGACAGGGTCCCGAGCACAGCCAAGAAGCTGGTCCCACGAAGGGTTCTGATTTTAGTCTGTCTCACGCAGTCCGCGTCTGCCCCAGCACAGCCAGGGGCTCTGCAGAACTCAGAGCACTAGAGTTACGTGTTGCACGCGTTCCAGTTTTGTCTCATAACTTTTTCCCCTTAGCAACCCACAGTCCTATGTCCATCAAGGAAATGCTTTGTCGTCCAAGTGCTCTGTAAAACATGAAGACAAACCGGTGGCTTATGGATACTCCACATATCATGTGCGTAGTGCTAAGCTTGGGGCAAAATCTACAAGTTTCCAAGAAAAGGATAGAGTTTAAAAGGGTTTGGCTTTTACTTAGACCTAAAGGTGGCTGTGTGTGAGAGAGGAAGGGAGATGAAATAATAGGAAGAGGCCTCAAACAAAACAAAACAAAAATCGTATCAATGTGAATGAGGGGGAGGGCAGAGGTGATCCGTAGTCAGTTAGAAGGGCTACAAGGAAGAGATGAGCCAGTCAGGGTGCAGTATAACACTGATGAAACATACAACTTTCCTCTAGTCCTTTAATGCTTCCTCCCCCACTCCCATCATGACCCCAATTCCACCTTACAAATCTGGCTAGACCAGAACATGTACATTGGTACAGATAAGAGCTTGCAACATGTGAATCCAGGACAGAAAAACCCCTTAGGCTCAATAATGGGAGTAGCAATACTAGGAGGGTAAGGGAAAGGTGGGGGGAATAAGGGGGGAACTGATCACAATGTAAGGGGATGGGGAGGGGGCGTAAGGGGTAACTGATCACAATGATCAACATATGACCCCTTCCCAGGGGGACAGACAACAGAAAAGTGGATGAAGGGAGATAGTGGTTGGTGTAAGACATGAAAAAAAAATTATAAATCATCAAAGGTTCATGGGGAAGAGAGGGTGGGGGAGAAGGAAAAAAAAGAGAAACTGCTACCAAAGGTTCAAGTAGAAAGAAAATGTTTTGAAAATGATGATGGCAACATATGTACAGATATGCTTGACACAATGGATGGATTGTGATAAGAGCTGTATGAGCCCCCAATAAAATGATTTTTTTTAAAAAGGAAAAAAAGAAATGTGCCTGTCATGCTTAACATAGGCGTTGGACATAGATAATTAAGTTTAAGTCCCTGAGACAGCAGTGATAACAACAGTGATAAACAAGTGATATCACTGAAGGCCATCTTTCCCCTTCTTGTCCATGTGCCCCGGACCAGTAAGTACCGGAAGTAGTGTAGCCAAGATCTGGGCTCAGGTCGGC